TCCATCCATCCATCCATCCATCCATCCATCCATCCATCCATCCATCAACATCTATTTAGCTTGGAGCAATGCACTCAAATGAACACACACACACACACACACACACACACACACGCATAAACACAGAAACTCAATCATGTATCAGTTGCATCAAACGTCTGCAGATTCTGAGATTTTGTTTCCCACGTAGCTGGGGAAAGCCAGTTTGGGGTAGTGGTTAAAGCATTAGACCAGAAACTGGGAGACCATGAGCTCTAGTCCTGCCTTAGGCACAAAGCCAGCTGGGTGACCTTGGGCCAGACTCAGCCCCAGGAGGAAAGTGCCAACAGCAAAAGCACCTCCAAAAATCTTGCCAGGAAAACTGCAGAGATTTATCTAGGCAGTTGCCAGGAATCCGCATTGACTTGAAGACATCCCCCCGCCCCCCAGAAAGTAGGTGGGAGGATAGATTGAAACACACACCAAAAATTGCATTTAATTTCCAGCCGAACTCTCCTACCCACCCCCATCCCCAGGACAGGGTTCAATTTTACTTAATTGAAATTGACATGTTGGCTATGCTCTTCAGTCATGACCTCTGCTGGACAGATCGTGGACAGCTCTTCCGAATCCTTGATATATTCATATTAACGGTGAAAGCAGGGTGCAGACCAAGGACCTGCAGATCGTGCAATGGGGTCCACCCAACGACTCTGTATTGCAGTAGACAGATGTTCCGGCTAGACTGGCTAATTGAGAATAGCAGGAAGTTCCTTATGAGCAATGTTTGGTATCAGTCCAACTAATTGCAATGTGCCTAGTTTCAGAGAATCTGCTCTCTCTTCTGCTTCGAACTACAGAAGCGAAGATGCAACAGTGCATTTTATGACAGCGAGAGATCCAAAAAGCTGTTTAGATCCTTAGAAGATGGGGTGGGTGAGGGGTCAGGAATTCAACTTGCTAAGTGTGATGGCCCTTGATCAGATCTCCCTAGCCTGAATGCAAGCCAACTAATCATTACTTTTCCACTTGCAAAAGGAACTCCTAGCAATTCAATTTCAATATTGGTTCTCTGTAAACAAAAGCCTTGGGTTCACTGAAACCACGGTCTTTTCTTTAAAAAATCCCAATCGAATCGCTCGCCTCTTTTAAAAACTTGCATTTGCGATGGGATATCTTGCGAAACGAACCCCTGTGGTTCTTTAAGTGGACGACCGCCCCTCCCCGCCCTTCGTTCAATTGTGCTGTCCTGCAACCTCTTTGTTGTACGCTCAGCAATTCTATGCCAGCTGTAACACGATCGCCCTCCTCTGGAATTACATTCGGAGTCAAAGCCGATGGAAAAAGAAAAAAGAAAAGGAAAGAAAAATGCTGAACATGGTTACTGACACAAGGGAAACTCTATCTGGATGCTCCTTCTCATTAAATGCTACTTCAGTTGCAGAAACACTGCCGATACACCCAAAGCTGTAAACCCAACCTCCCGACTCGAACAATCCCAGTGTCATCTTCATGAACACCATGCAGGTAAGCGCTGAGCTTTTATCACTATTGGGACAATATTTAAACCAGGTGTTAAACCCTACCTACAAATCAAACAACTATGAAACTAGGCGCACGCTTTCTTCTGCAATGCCTTTGGCTAATAATCAGAAGCCGTTGGAAGTTTGCAGTTCTGGCACGCATTCTATGCCGCAGATCTGAAACCCGGGAAATAAACTTCTTTCTAATCCAGGTTTTCTCTGGTTGGCGGCTCTTCTCTAGCATTTTCAGCCCTATCGGGTGCAGCCAAGGTTACAGTTGAGACCTTAAACATGCAAAGAAAGGGCTTTCATGTATTAGTTGCAGGCATGAGTCCTCCAACAATGATGGTTTTAAGTATGTATATTTAAATCCGATTAAATTGCCTCAATTCATGACAGCCTAATATTAACAGAATCGAAGAGATGGAATGAATGGCACGTATTCCAGTGTTTTTGTATACCCTGGTCTCTGTATGTGTCTCTCTCTTCTCTAAACACATTATATAAATATCGTGCATAGCCAAACAACCGTCTCCTACATCAGTTTTAAACTAAGCTCATTATCACGAATAACAGTAATTCCGACTCTGCTGCAAGAACTGAAAAGCATACATTTTGAAGGAAGTGAGCATTAATCTTTACTCCTCTCCATTTCAACAGCTGATTTTCTGTAGGCTCCGAACTCACCAGTGGTGTTTCATCCTCTTCAGTGTTGCTCTTTTCCACATTTTGCTCTTCGGAGCTGATCTTCTGGAGGAATATTTCTCACGGGCCATCCCCACCACCTACATGGACATGAAAGTCCTCAAAGCCCGGGAAAGAGCACAGATGTTGGACATGTTCCCCTTGAAAGCCAACATCTCCAAGGCTTATGTGATTAGCAACTCAGAAGCCTGCTCCAAACGAGAGATCTTCCTGCTTGTTCTCATCTTCAGCTGCCCCGAAAACTTGTCCTGGCGCAACGCAATTCGGAAAACATGGGCCAACGTGACCTATGTCCAAGGTTACGCCACTCTGGTCTTATTTGTGCTGGGCAAACCACCTTCAGCTACCACCCAATTGGAGGTCATCAGGGAAACGGACCAGCAACAGGATCTAATTCAAGGAACTTTCCTCGACACGCCAGAGAATCAGACGCTGAAAATCAAGAGGGCCATAGAGTGGATCGTAACCTATTGTTCTGAGGCCAGGTTCATTCTCAAAATAGACGAAGATATGTTTGCTAACATCCAAACCTTGGTTGAATACTTGCTCAATTTAAGAACTCACCCTGAAGACATTTACCTTGGGAGGCTGATTCAAGACATCCCCAACAAAGACTCCCAAAATGGCAGTTTTACCTCCATAAAAAAATATCCAGAACACTACTACCCTAACTACTGCAGTGTTACTGCCTTTGTCATGTCACAGGATGTGGCCCGGAAGATCTATGTAACTGCCAGGGAAGTTTCTCCTTCCCTGCCCCCTGGCATTTTTGTGGGAATCTGTGCAAGAGCGGCTGGCGTAGTGCCCATGCACAGCTCTCGGTTTTCTGGGAAAAGGCACATCTGGTACAACCGATGCTGCTATAAATATATTTTCACTTCATCTGTGTCGAAAACCAGCCAGCTTCTCCAAGAATGGGAGGAGATGAAGGCCGGTAAAGGTTGCACGTTACTGGAAACCTATTATGGGCTGGTGTCCTGCAGAATTATGACGTATCTGGATGGGTTGAAAGACTCGAGCATCAACACCATTCCGAAAGAGGCTCTCCAGTTTACTGATTAGAACGTACAACTCAAGGAATAAAATGATATGCCCTCAGTTTGATTTCCTCATGGGCTTACCCAATGATGTAGACTAGTTTTGCCGTTAGCCATTGCAGCTTTCTATGGGAAGTTCCCTAGATTGCCAAGGCATTGTATAATTTCCTTTTCCATATACTTTCCGAGCCAGAGCGTAAAGTGATCCTCTCCCCACTATTTTCAGGAACTGTCAATCATTTTAAGTAGGCCAGGTTAGGCAGCAGACATTGCAAGGAATCCAAGAACAGTACTTTATTGTTATAGGGTATAACAACAGAATCTTGAAAGTCTGTCAGCATCCCTCTGCCTTTCGTACCCAACCAAGTCAAGGTGGGATTGAGTTTCCTTCTCAAGTCATCCTATCCCAGGACTAAGTTATTTTCCCTTAACAGCTCCTGATCCCTCCGTTAAGATTATTTCCACACAGGAACATATGAAAGAGAGTCACAAGACCGTGAGGGTCATCCTCCAGCTTTCACAGTGGGATTCAGCCTTTCTCCAACACCAAATCCTTCTAGACATAGAGATCCACATGTTCATCCTGGTCCTTCATGTGCATAATCTATCTTTAGTTCATATTACAAAGAGCACAACATTCAGACAAGAAGTTGAAGACGTTTTACATAAATTTAATTAATCTGACAATCTTACTTCATCTTTAAAAGGGGTCATTCTACATGATGCTTACATGCACGACAAAGGGAAGTCAACAGGTATCAAAAAGGAATATTTCAAAGCCGAAATATACACAAAAGGCAGTAGTCTGAAGAAAATGGGGTCAAAAATCAGATTGCAAATACCAACAGACTCTGTCTCAGTTCAAGAGGTACTTTATAAATTAATCCAAAGCAGAACAGAAGAAAAACACATTTTTGCACATAGGGAAACTACTCAAACTTTACTACAACCACGGACTCGTCTATTGTTGGAGATACTTTCCTGCTTCCCAAATTAGTTAAGTAGTAAGCCACCAATGCATTTAACTCCCATAAAGCTGAGCTGGAATATGCATATTGGACTCTGGTCCTTCATGTTGAACTTTCTATGCAACCTATTTAAAACCATACCATGTTTAGAGCTTGATGTATAAGAAATGTAACAGTGCTGTGTCCTAACTGAACCATGGAAGAAGTATCTTGTCTGTATATATATATTTACTAACCCTTGAAGGCACTGGAAGGTTCTTTTGAGGAGATGGCTGGGATTAAAGGGGCCCTGGGAAGTGAAGGGAGCATAATTTTTCCTTTCCTGGGGTTGAGACTGAGAGCTGGAGGATGGACTAAGAGAAGAGAGATGAAGGCTGAGAGAAGAGTGGATAATAATGCTTCCTTTGTAAAATGGAGATGTGTTTAGCCTTTTATGAGAGCGAGAGAGAGAGAGAGGCTTTATTCTTTCTTCTACTTGCTTTTAAGGACCTGGATTAGATCATCTTATTTGTTCCCTACATAAAGTTGTGCGGATGAATATTTATATCATGGCATTTAGAACTGCAGAAAGGCAATACTCGGTGCTCATCTGATGAACTATGAGTCACTCTGAGCACAATCTTAGGAAAATGGTGTTTTCTATGTTCCAAAGGAGTCTCACTTAAGGGTAACCACCTTTCTCTCAGAGGGTGGATTTTAAGTACTGTAAAATGGTGGCATTCATGCTTCCCATCAGGAAAGTACCTAGAAGATCTCCATACTTCAACCCAACTTCCTGCCATTTCAAAGCCAAAAAATAAGAAAGCCATACCAAGCTAATTCCTTCCACACTTTCTTTTTCCTCCCTACAAACCAACAGGTCAACCCCCTTCCAGAAGTCCAGGACCCTCAGTTACCCTTGGAATTACTGGAGAGTAGCTAAAAATTATGTCATCTGAAGTTACTCAGCTCCTTCCACAGCAGTAGTTGAGACAGCCTTAACGTAATATGGCCCCTCGCGCATGTAAGCCCTCAGTCTTAAATAATGCTGATTTCCAAATATTTCTGCAGCGGTCTTTGAGTTAACCAAGGCCTTGACAAGTTCATATTTGGCCTCCTTAGAAGCTTTGTCTGGTTCCACTGATCTGTCCACGATGTATTCCACAAAGCCAGGGCTGGCCAACAGCTTCTGCTGGGCCCAAGGTTGATTAGCAATGGCCTAGGGTACAAGGCAGATTTTGTTAAGAGTCTTACATCCATACTCCTTCGGTTTAAAAAATGTTTACATTTAGTCTAATGTATTTAGCCTGACGTGAAAGGTAATAAAACTATAGTAGATCAACAAGGGGAAGTATGCAAAATGTTCAGGGTAAACATGTCTCAACTTCAGAACGCAGCTACAGGGAAAGAACGTTTCAGCCTCGAAATGTTTCACATGCTTCTACTGACAAGTACGCCCCACCTCCCAAAGGCATCTCATGAGAAAAGACTCTTACAGTGAAGACTCTCAAGGCACCACAGTGGAGATCAGGGAATGGCTGAGTGCTGATGCTCCTGAAGAGTACCAAAGGCTCGTTGGACAGAGAGGAGAACCAAGATTCTGTCACCCGGAGAAGGTCTTCTGTCTGCTGGTCAGGCTGTATGCAAGAGAGTAGGGGGTGAGGTTGCAAATGCCCCTGATCCATCATTTTTCTTGAAAGTTTGGAACAAAGCATCCAACGCCCGCTTTTGATTGCTTTCAGCACCTAAGATCACCATGTGAAATTGAAGAATATACTTCTGGGAACCTGATGTTTCATTTTGACCCGATGCTTCACGAGTGTAGAATGTACATTTACAATATCTATTCAAAAGGCTCTAGAAAGTGACATTCTGTTGCAAAAATGACCCAAGCCTGCAGCTTTCAAATCTGCCTTGCATGTGTTTGGAAGAAGGATGAAAGAGGTTCTGTTCATAAAGGTAGTCCTTGAGTTGTGACAGCAATCGGGACCAGAATTTCTGTCGCTAAGCGATGCGGTCATAAAGCGCAACGCCACGTGACTGCATCGCTTAGCAACGGCAATCCTTGCAGTCCCTGTTGCCGTTGTTAAGCGAGGATTGTGGGCCACTAAGCAAACACCTCCTCGCAACTTCCTGCTGGCTTCCAGCAACCAAAGTCAGTGGGGAAGCTAGCAAGAAGCTGCAAGTCCCTGGTGCCTCGCAAGCAGACTGTCAGGCAGGTACGTGGCTGCTGCTGGGTGGAATAGGGAGCGAGGGGCGCGCGGGTGGCCAAGGAGGCGCAGTGCGAGTGCAGCGGGGCTTGGGGTGGCTGCTGCTGGGTGGGGGAGGCTGCACAAGTGGCCGGGGAGGGCGCATGAGGGTATGCGGGTAGCCAGGGAGGTGCAGCGTCAATGCAGTGCAGGGGAGGCAAGTTGGTTGCATATAACTTACTTGCAAGTACAGCAGAGATGAAACGGCATCCAGACATCGGATTCTCATCTCAGTTGGAGCGTTCTTTATTTGATGCCCAATTCTGTTTAGCACATGATGGAACCGACTCCCTGAAAATCAAAGCAAGCTGTTCTTGGCTATGCAGGTATAGCACTTCCTCCCTCTTGCCCTGTAACCAGACTCATAATTGCACAAACACACACGCACAATGGACAGACCTGTCTTCTGGAGCACCAACTTGCCCTCCACATTTGACCCCAAGATCCCAATCGTGTCTACTGCCACGCCAAACAAGGTTGGGTCTTGGCCTTCAGCCATGTTGAACACCTTCTCCACAAAGGCAGGATACTGCTCACAAATTTGCTGGGGGCTGTCCACGATCGCCAGGTTGCCAAAAAATTTAACAAAACCTGCCAAGACAGCCACGTGTCAACAGAGAAAGGAGATTATCGCTACTTGAAGCATCATCATACAGCTGCTTTGATCAACATGGCACCCACCAGATGCACCACGTCAATCACTATCTTTTCCCCGTCTGACTTATAAAGACATTGAGAAGATACAAAGTGAGCTGAAGGTGGGCGGAACCAAAAGCTTTCCTCCAAGTTTCTTGGGGGAACTGCCAGATTTCAATCTTATAAATACAGGAAGCAAGTTATTCCTAAAACAGAACTAGGTCCCCTCTGTTCAGGACAAGCTTTTACGTCTGCTATCCCCTATGCAGAAAACAGACATGAACAAATATTCCAAACTGGGATTGAGAAAGAGGGCATGAAACAAACTGAGGATCCGAAGGCTCACAGAACATGAAGCAGCCCCCTTGCTGAAGGCCAAGTAGGTTTGGGCCCAATGGGAGACCCACTTGAGAGCCTCCAGCATATACCAAGAAAAGCAGGCCATATAGGTATTGTATCAATCTAACTACGGTCAAGACTGCAAAAAGCCACCTGCAATCACCTGGCAGGTAGAAGCCGGAGAAAGGATCTGAGTCAGCCCCAATGATTATATTGGAAATCTTGTCAATGATGCCTTGCTGGGCAAGATATTGTCGTCCATGCTGAGTGTGGGCCAGTGAGGTCACCATCTCTATGCAGGTAGCTCTGTTTTAAAACAAACAAACAGACCACTTCAGAGAGACATTCAATATTCCTTTTAATGCTCCAGGAAACTCCACCTGCAGCAAAACCCTAATTTACTCTTCTTAACAATCAAGTCTTCCCCTATTTGGGTAAGATAGACTGGTGGTAAGAAACAGCACAGGTTTTCTCCAGGACAGAAATCTGCACTGCACGGCTCGCTAAAGGACTCGCAAGCACTACCGAAAGCCAGGATCCCTGAACAGGGAGGTCAGAGGCACCATTCACGTAAAGATTTTTGGGGCAATGGAAGTGAGGAGGGGCAAACCATGGAAGCCAAGACTCATGTTTTTGTAGGGTTGCAATGGGGAGAAAATAGCCAATGTATCTGTACAGAGGATGGTGTTCATCCCCTCCTCTAAGAAAGCACTGGAACCAAACTATGAATTGGGCCAGAGACTGACAAAAGATAGCAAGCAGAATTGAGACACAGGCATTCATTTCCAAGCAGCTAAGTTAGTAAGGATACCCCCAAGGCCTGTTGGCAACAAAACTAGAACAATCCCATTCACGTCGAGGCCCATCCCATTAGGTACCTGACGAGCACATCATTTCCAGTCAGTTCTCCAATCATTTCTGATATTAAACCGCTGTTCACGCAGTAGTTCAGAGAATCCACCGATGTCGAGGAAATACTGACCACTAGCTAACACAAGCGCACACAAGACAGGAATCTGAGAAACATATCTTTAACAGCATTTCTGCCACAATAGGCAGCCTACCCCCACCACGCCCCCAGATTTGTAGGTCAGACTTGCGGAGAGTTATTGAATTAAGAAAGTCAGCAAACACAGATATGTTAAGCCATCAAGAGGTGTGCTCCGTTTATTCCCCTTTAAAATGAAAAAAACCTACTTACTCCCAAGGATTTCTGTTATTGCTGTGCTCCATATAGCCTTCAGAACGCCAGATCAATCCATTTAAAGGAATTTCATGCTGGCCTCCATCTATACATCCACTCTTACCAAATTCTGTTTCCAATGTACCCTCTCCCCTTAATCTTCAAATTACATGATACCACTAATTTTATTCGACTTGGAACTTATACCTACTCCAGCCAGCCACAATAGGCATTCAGTTTCTAAATCCCCAAATCACATCATTCACCTGACAGGTAAAGAAATGCATTTCTACCCTCTATCCGCTAGACTCCAAAGGAAAGCGGAACTCTTGCCTCATACACGCGATAACGTATGACATCGCTCTTCGCCATGACATTTTTTAAGTCAATCAGCAAGTTCCCCGCCAGCAAAACTTCCAAGCCCTCAGGTGTTTGCGCTATCCTAGATAGTGATTTGATGGCCTAAGAAAACAAAAATTGTCAATGAAAACAGGAGAAGCAGACCTATGCATATGTTGGGGTGTGGAGACCCTGAATCAGTAAAAGGTGCAGAAGTTGCATAGACTGAATACAGAACTCTTTCTCTCCACCTCTGCAGGTTACGAAGAAAGATATAACCATTCTCAAAAAAATATCTTCTGGAAAGAAGAATGCCTTCATACAATGAGGTTGTACAGTACAGTACATTGGGGATTTTAATTGACCCTTGACAAGCAAGGGAGTCAGAGGCCTAAACATAGAGAAATGTACACATTTGCCAATAGAAAAACCCAAGAAATAAATAGTTTCTACTACAGTTCTGAGGATGGAAGCTAGTGCATAACTGGATGGATCCATTTTCTTTCTATAAGATTCTGTGTGGAAATCCCACAGGTGGTATTTGAAAGTTCTACATTTTGGGTTTCAAAAGCAAAAATAGGGAAGCTGGTACCCCCAGATGTTTTGCAGTACAGTTTCCATTACTTCAGACCACATGGCTACCAGTAATGGATTGGGGGGGGGGCTTCGAATGTTTTTCGTGCGAGTCCCTCGCAG